AAGAAGAAGAAGAAGAAGAAGAAGAAGAAGAAGAAGAAGAAGAAGAAGAAGAAGAAGAAGAAGAAGTAGAAGAAGAAGAAGAAGAAGAAGAAGAAGAAGAAGAAGAAGAAGAAGAAGAAGAAGAAGAAGAAGAAGAAGAAGAAGAAGAAGAAGAAGAATATGAAGATGAAGATGAAGATGAAGATGAAGATGAAGATGAAGATGAAGATGAAGAAGAAGAAGAAGAATAAGAAGAAGAAGATGAAGATGAAGAAGATGAAGAAGATGAAGAAGATGAAGAAGAAGAAGAAGAAGAGAGACAGAGAGAGAGAGAGAGAGAGACAGAGAGGTAAAGAGACATAACATGGCTCAAATCGGCCCTTGAGCTTCCGCTCGTGAACCCACTTTGTCATCTAGGGGGAAGGGTGCAGCTGTCGGACATTGTGGCCTGGTTTCTCAGAGTGAACCCTAAGACAGTGTAGCAGCAGAATCAAGAAGCAGGTGAGATTCGCTTTCTCATGTGCGGCCCTCTCTTTCGCATGGCTTTGTTGACTGGTGTCGCAGTGCGCATGTCTTCTACCGTACTTTTATGAAAGCTAGGGACAAGTGAAGCTGCACCAGCCATGTTGAAAATGATTTCGTGCCTGACGTGTTTGGTGGGAGAAGAACCTCTTCCAGAACAGCTGGAGAGCATGCAGTTGCGACAAGAACATAGCTCCTAAGAGCCGCACAGCAAAGAAGCCAAGGGACTCCAACCTGCCAGAGGAACAAAGATGGTGGCAAAACGACACGCAGGGAGATACGCGACCACGGTAGATCCCTCGAGGACAGCCTGCAGTCTCTGGAGGAGCCACCTCGAGCTGCTGAGTAGGGTTGGCCACTCTTTGTGGACAACAACCCCCTCGGACCAGAGCGTGAGAGACGCGGAGACAGTGCCGGAAGCCATGAGCACGGTCAAGGCCCAGACAACAGCCCCACTCATGCCCCGAAAGTCGTTTGCTGTGGATTTCCATCCGGCAACCGTGGTACGATCCCTCCGTACCTAAGACTAGAGTATAGGGGAAGCAATAAGACGTGGCATGAGGCTCAACGCCGTCAGCCGCAAAACCTTTACCCTTGCATCATGTGCTGTAGCTGGGTCACGCTGCACCACGAACAGCCAATCGGCCACAGAAGGCAAGAGCAGCCAGGTTTCTGCACTTCTGGGAACATTCGGGGCTGTCTCACACACCATGGGTTCCGGATTTCCGGAGAGGGGTGCCTTAGAAAACATAAAGATACATTGCGACTGCGTGTACCAAACAATAAGGACTAAGCCAGCTGAAAGGAAGGGAGGGACTGGAAGGAAGGAAGAGAAAGTGGGTGTCCGCCCTTCCATCATGCCCTCGAAGAAGGAAAGAAGGAGAGAGAGATGTATGTACATATTTGTATGTATACAATTCAGCGCAGAGGGAGGGACCCTGTCTTGACCCCAACTTGTTGGAAGAAGAAACAGAAGAGTACGATTAGAAGTTGCAGCTTAGTGTGCCGATGTTTTCAATTGGCATGTCATGAGTCATCCATTTGCTCTGAGGTGGCTTGCTTTGGTTCAATGGAAACTACGTCTATTATGAAGGAGATTGGCGCATCTTGGACCTTAACTTTCGGTATCGTTGACCAATATGTGGCCGGTTTACCTGCAAGAGCCTGAAGATGGTACCTTTAACCCAGAAATTGACCTCTCCTTGCACGGCCATGCCTGTGTCCCAGTGTAGAGGTTGCAGGCTACCATAGGCTACCTCCTGCCACAACTCCCACGGCTTCTGCGGAGGCATCGTGCGGTCCTTGGCTGGACCTTCCATCCGGCTGAACACATACTGGAGCTACAACTGGCACAAGGAGTCCGTGCATGCTGACCCCATCTCTGGACAGATCTATCATCTGCTGAACAATCGGGGGCATCCCCTCTACAGCTACCAGACTTTCGAGCCGCCACCGCTGAATTTAACTCATCCTGTTGGTTGATCGGTCGATTGGTTGGTGTGTAGGTTAGTATATCTCTCGCTCTCTCCGTCCCTCTCTGTCCCTCCCTCCCTCTCTCCTTCTCTTTGTTTTCTCGTGTCTTTTTTAAGGTACATCGACTGCCTGAACCCGTCGCTCCGCCGAACCTCCCGGGCTCGACTCTCACAGCGGTTCCAGATCCACTGGCCACTTGACCTCATGTGGTCTCCAGTGGTCTCCTATAGTCTCCTTACCCTGCTTAAGCTAAACGTCAATCGAGTCAGGTATCGGGTGTACATTGGTGATGGAGAGATGGTCGTGCTGGACCGGCAGAGCAAATGGAGGATTATCAAACTTGGCTGCTCTGGCCAACTGCTGCATTTAATGGGGTCGACGTTTCAGTTTTTGGTCTGGCGATGCGAGGATCTGGGATATCTGCGAGATTTGAAGGCGGTTTGTGTTTGGGGAGTCTGCTTTCACAAGCAGCGTCTTGCTTCGATTCCGTTACTATTCTGTAGCTCAGGCACCTTATCGGTGCGAGTCCTGAGCTCCTATTCCGGCTTCGGGATTTCAGGCTGCGAGCGTGGCCGTCAAGGCACGATAAGCGCGACCTGCGGGCCTCGAGCTCTATGCTCTAGTGGTGCTTTGGGTCAGTTTCCTGCAAGGTGGGATCTTGGAAAATGATGGCACCAGCTATTGGATCCTCCACGCGAGGCTTGGCCAGCAAAGGCAGCGGCAGTGTCATGATCATTCTCCACGGATGGCGTGGACCACAGTGGAACACAGTGGACTTGCTTTTCTGAATATCTTGCACTTCCCGACCCACCGTTTGAAGGAGTCTCAATTTGTTTCGGAGTTGTTGTTGAACTAAGAGGGCAACTTGATAATGCCTGGTATATACTGATTCCTTTGACTCCAAAAAATGGATCTTGTAAGAACATGTTTGAAACAAACGCAGAATCGCTTCGAGAGGGAACCGCGAACCTTGCAAATTGGATGTAGGCCGAGAGAATTTTGTATGCAACCAAGCCGGTCCGGCATCCACAGGCATGTCTTCAGATGTTTTTTTCGCCTTTCGCAACGATTTCGCAAACTCCCGCAAAACGCATCTTCTTCGGGGGGGACACACCTGGACTCACGAGCGGAGCCTGAAGTTGCGCGCCATTCGTCGTGAAATGCGAGCCTGCTTCGCAGAATCGAGTTTTGTCTCCAGGCTCTGCCAAATCTTGCACAACCTGAAACGCCGTCTCTTGCCCGAAAAGGACGCAGGCGAACGCAGGCTCAAGTAGCTTATCTTGGTCATGCCTGGACTGCAGTTCGTCGAGAGTCCAGAGTTGATAAGTTGTGCCACGTCACAGCACCAGTGAGTCGCGCAGACTGGTTCTCAGCTTGCCGCTGCCATTTTGTCGTTCTTCGTAGCTTTGTCACAGGGGGGTGCTGAGAGCTCGAGTGGGAACAAGCCAGCAGCAAGTTAGTTGCCTTCATTCTTCCGGGACCAAACCACGCCCAGCATGTGCAGACTGTTCCCTAGCTAGTGGGTGTGCAGGGATCGGATGGATTGGGTTCAGGGCGCCTTTTTGCAGATGGTTGGAACCAAGACTTGAGGTTGAGGGTGAAGAATTTGATTTTAGGGTTTAGCTTCAAGGTGGGAAGAGACCGGCCGACATTGCCCCAAAACACAGTGCTCGGAACTCGGCTTGGCCAACTGAGGAGAGGCTATGTGTTCCGTCGCGCCATCAGTGGACCTGCCCGAAATCAGGTGACACGGCTGTCAGGCCACCTTGGGGACACTTGGCTTGAACCACACCTGAATCCATCAGTGACATGAGCACTTGAAGCAGTCTGGCAAAGCTTGTGTAGCAGAGTGTGTCGGATCAGGACATTTGTTCCCTGGCGGTGGACTACAAGCGAAATCGTTGGTACTACCACAGGGACGGGATGAAACCATACCAGACAGTTGCAGTCCTGGGATTAACAACGATGGCTGCACCTGCACACTGCTGCAGAGAAAGGGTAGCGGGCGCATTCCTCTGCTCATACGTTGTCCCCTGGTGCGTTGCAGCCGTGAATCTTACACAGCCGATGCAGGAAGGTGGTCGCTTCAGCGAGGGTGTCTACTCCTGCCCAGCCACCTTTATGTCCAGCCTTTCGCAGGCCAGTTTTTCGGAATCCTTGCTGATTCCAGGTGTTGATGATGGAGGTCTCACCTGTTCCAGCAGCATCTTCAACAGCTTTCTTCCCTGATCAGGTCGAGGACGAAGTCTACGATCTGCTTCCCGACAATGCTGGCACAGGCCTCTATGCCCTTCCAATGCCTAGCATCTGGGCATATCTTGTAGATAGGAAGGCAATGTCCACCAACCTGCCTTTCCAGCCTTTCCAAGCAAGTCTATGTTTTGGTTGGGGGTTTTGCAAGGCTTCTTGCAGCCCTTGGGATAACCAAGGCCATGTGTATGCTTGGTACCTCCGCTGGCGGCCGAGTTTCCGAATCGCGAACTACAGAACAGAGCAGCATGGCTCAGATCTTCATGGCAGCAGCTTCACATGTGCAGATTGTCCTGCTGGAGTTGCCCTTAATGTCCCGCACTGCTGCTCTCAAAGCAGGTGTCCCGGCGGCTGGCAGCAGTATCAGAGGAACTGCTATCGGTACATGGGCTGGTCGAACTTTCGTGGTGCTGAGGGCCACTGCAATGCTTACCAGGCCCATATCTTCATGTCGCGTGGACGCAAAAGTTCAGCACATGTCGGGCTCGTTCTAGGTGTCAGGCTGTGTCTCCGACTTCTCGCCTTGTCTTCTGCTGTTGGCTTTATCCCCTCAGGCCGGAGTCCGACGCGGAATATGACTGGGTGGATGCCAACGTGGTGCGAGTGAACAGCCGCCTGAACGAATGATCCAAACGCTTTGGCCGCTTTAGATGCGAGAGCCCATCTCAAGCCGCACATGGGTTTGTCACCAAGTATACCGGGGCGTCCCTCTAATGCCCATATCAGTGGGTGTCGGCCGGCCATTAGTCGCGTGTTGCTGCGCGATGCTGCGCTGCACCGGGCACCGTAGCTCCTGTGAAACTTTGCGAGGTTGGCACTGGCTGGGTGTCATGGGCTCGACTTCCGGGGGCTGGACCGGAGGGGAGAAGCGTCATGAAGTCTCAGCTTGTGGTGTGTATCGTGTTGGCATGCGTTTTTTTAGTTGCTCTTATGTTGCTCTTCTCATGCCTCATGCACTTGGCAAACTCAAGCTCTTGTGCGCAAAGGGCACAAGAAGGCAGAAAGGTGGAGCACGAAGCCCAAGCGTGCCAGGACCGAGGATCCGACAAACGTCAATCGGCTGGACGGCAAGGAGGGGGGTCTCTGTTCAGTCTTGCTTTCCCCCGAGCTCCCCTTTTTTAAGTTGAAAGCGTTTACAATCGGTGTCAAACACTGCTCTCTTTCGCAACTTTTTTGTAGGACCCTTTCCAGATCTCCAGCAAGCTGACTGCCCGGCCATCGCCTTGGCACACCATCGACTCGCGCTGGAGGCCGTGCAGCCTGGCGCAAAGTTGGGATGCCTTCGCATACTGCAGATACATGGCTACTGCATAGCTGGGGAGAACTCGCAATATTCCGTCAGAGCTGAAGTTCTGAAGGGCTGAAGCTGCTTTCAGCACAGAATGTGCAGCCAGATTTTTTTGTTGCAGTGATCGACGCCGTGTCAAGGTTACATCTTCCACAGCCGGAATGGTTATTGGAGGCCGGAGCACCAAAGATCTGACCCATCAAAGCCTAAAGACCGGAATCGAAGCATTCCAACTACAGTACGCCTGCGACGTACGATCGATGTGTGTACGGGGTCGCCATCGCGGCTGTCCGGGCATATGTAGGCCACTCACCTCGCGAAGAAGCCATTGAAGCCCGCTGTTACTTTTGCGTGTGTTTTTGTGTGTGTGTGTGTGTGTGTGTCTCTGTCTCTGTCTCTGTCTCTGTCTCTGTCTCTGTCTCTGTCTCTGTCTCTGTCTCTGTCTCTGTCTCTGTCTCTGTCTCTGTCTCTGTCTCTGTCTATGTCTCTGTCTCTGTCTCTGTCTCTGTCTCTGTCTCTGTCTCTGTCTCTGTCTCTGTCTCTGTCTCTGTCTCTGTCTCTGTCTCTGTCTCTGTCTCTGTCCCTGTCTCTGTCTCTGTCTCTGTCTCTGTCTCTGTCTCTGTCTCTGTCTCTGTCTCTGTCTCTGTCTCTGTCTCTGTCTCTGTCTCTGTCTCTGTCTCTGTGTGTGTGTGTGTGAGAGCAAGTGGTTGGGTGTATGTGTACGCTCATGCAGTCTGCTCATGGCGGATACAACAAACGTGGCAGCAGGTACCACTGGCACGTGCAGCACTGTCACGAAGGCAGTGTTTCCTGCGAGCGTCATCATCTGCACCTCTACTGTCAAAACTTTGTGTCTCGCTACTTCTGATGCGAGGCCGGTACTTTATCTGCAAGATGCCCCTCAGGGCGCAGCCCCTCTCATGGTTCCACTTGTCGCAGCAAGGCGCGAGAAACAGAGTCAGGGATGGTGAGAGCGCGGATCGCTGCGGCTGTCTAGCAGGCTACACCTGCGGAAAGACGAGCTACAGGGATTTGGGCAGCAGCGTGTCAGCGATTGGGAGCTGAAAAACGGGGCGCGGAGATATGGGCTGTTCAGATCCCAGCGCAAGGCTGCATGCACAGACATGCACACGCACAGGCACGCGCACGCCCACGCGCACGCGTGCACGCGCGCAGGCACAGGCACACGCGCGCGCTTGCTCGCGCGCTTGCTCGCGCGCTGGCGCACGCGCACGTGCACGTGCGCGCACGCGCCTACACGCGCGCGCAGGGGCGCAGGCGAGCGCAGGCGCGCGCAAAAGCGCGCGCCACACGCGCGCACACGCGCGCGCACACGCGCGCACACGCCCGCACACGCGGGCCACACACGCGCACACGCGCACACACGCGCACACACGCGCACACCCGCGCACACGCGCGCACATGCGCGCACACGCGCGCACACGCGCGCACACGCGCGCACACGCGCGCGCACACGCGCGCGCACACGCGCGCACACGCGCGCACACACACACACACCCACCCACGCACGCCCTCTCTCTCTCTCTCCCTCGCTCGTGTCGGTTGCTTGTCTTTCCCATTCGCGCATTGTCGCACAGCACCTGGGGCTTCGGAGTATTCGGAGCAGTCTGTGGTGAGATGACCATCTCCGGATGCTACACAGCATCCCAGAACGATGCCAATTGCAATGGTCAGGGCTTTCACTACTATCCCCTTCGTGTTGGCAAGTTTGGCCAGTGTCGCAGCTGCAACCCTTGCGAGATGCCAGTTGTAGTACGTCTATGTCTGGGAAGCGATGCCTGCGGTCTTGACTTAACTGTAGTGCATCATCCTGATGCAGGTGCTTCTGTGGCACTGCCGCAGATGTTCGCGATGATGGCACTTGCGTCAGCAAGTCGACAGACAGCGTCGGCAACAATGCACAGTTCAACCACATTTACAAGCACCTCCGATGCACTTGCACAGTCGGCTGCAGGGCTTCTCTTGTTGTCCTTTGACAGCGGGTCGCTCTTCATTTCCATGACACCTCTCAGAGCAAGTTACTATTGAAGGTACAAGCCCTTTGAGTACCACTTGGCTGGCAACAATTACTGCTTGACTGCGAATCTTGTCACAGCATTTTCAGGTTGGAGGGGTTCAACCTTCTGCATGCACAGCACGTGGGCTTCAGTGTTGCCACAAGCTTTTGTCTGAAGACGACTTTTGCATCGCAAGGGGGGGTTGGAAGAATTTTTCAAGCTTGGGGCATCGGTGGGGCATCGGGCAGCGTTGCTCAGCATCCCGAGGAGTGGCCGACGGGCTGAAGGCTCGGAAAGCCCTGCCAAGACCCTCGGAGCGTGTCACTTGCCAATATTTGTGTCCAGAAAAGCCGTGCCCCGTTGAATTGCTTTTGTGGTTCTTTCAGCCGCCCATGTTTGTCACATGTTAGTTTCTACTGGGGAATTAGATTGCGAGCCTGTGGTTTCAACCAACATGCGTGTTCGGCCGCGTGTGGCTCTGTGTGTGCCGTGCTTGCTGTGCAAGGTTATGCCGTGCTTGGCTAACTGCTAGCTTGCTTTGTCTTTCAAAGCGCAAGCTCACCTTGCGATCACAAACGCGTGCCACCAAACGCATCGGTGGCAATAGGCGCCAGTTGCATCATTACTGAGTTGAAGGTCTACTGCAATGCTCACTTCTCCATGTCCTACAGCCCATTCGCCAATTGAAGAAAGGTGAAGCCAGCATTCCTTTTGTTTGTTGTCCGTCCCCCTATCTTTCTCCCCTACATTCTCTAGATTCTAGTATGCTGACACACCACCATGGCCAACAAAGGCAGTACATTGTTTCAGCATGGGCATTGAGTTTCGCTTTGGTTGAGACCGCATGAGTCTACATGATGAGTCCCGTCAATGGGTCCTGTCACATTGAGGTCAAGCCGCCTGCTCTTCTGATGCCTACTGCAGCTGAGCCGCGTTTGATCGATAGCGTTTGTAGTACAAAGCTTTGCTGTGCTTGGCAGAAGCCCTCAGACTGACCAAGCCGAACCCTCTTTGCAACGCCTGGATCCCGTAGTCCCGCTTTCACTGCACGCATCGCCGCGGTGTCAACGAACTGAACAAGAAGCGCCCGCATGTCGATCCGTCGGTGTGACCTCGTCCTTCCTGGTTTCCACCTCAGGCTTTGGCTTCGAGTTCTATGCCAACAGCAAGCACCAGGATTCCAAATGCTGGCTGTTCACGGGCCACAAGTCACTGAGACTGAACGTGAAGTCTCAACACGGCTTTGGAATGCTTTCGACTAACAGAAGTATTTTTGATGGGCGGTTTGCCCTCAAGAAGCTCTTGAGGCAATCGGCCAACATCATCCCGGTTCGAGCTTACACAGGGCGCCGGTACAAAGATGCAGTTTGCTACATCAAGGCTCTGGAAACATCGTGTTGAAGTTGTCAGTTACATCGTGACGAAGTTGTCAGTTTGCAAAAAGAATGTGTTTTTGTTGATCTTTTTTTGTTGTGTGTGTGTGTGTGTATGTGCGCGTGTGTGCGTGTGTGCGTATAGTTAGCTCTGCATGACATAGAGAGTGTACACGTCTTCCTAGCAGACATGCTGCATGCTGTGCTATGTGGGCGCGCAGAGTTGAGCATGAGGTGGCTCTGCGCACCTTGCACACTTGGCTAGATAGAAAGGAGCACAAACAGTTCTGTGCATCAGCAGAGCCTCAAGGTGCATCGTAGTTGCAAGCAGCCAGGGATTTGGCAGATGTACTCCTCTCCGCATCTCCTACTGCAAGTGCGTGTCTTGAGTCAGGCTTCCAAAATGACTCAGCTGAGCTGCCACAAGCAAAGACGACCAGCACTGTTTGGTAGTGATCGTCTCAACGACTTGTTTGCAGGCTCCATACTTCGAAGATGGCTGCTACAACGACTATGGCATCCCTGGCTACAAGTTCTCACACTTGGGCACCTCAGACCAATCCTGAGAATTGATGGAGAAAATTCTTTCTTTGAGGCGAGGCAAGTGAAGCGCAGTGAAGCCCAGGCTACTGGTACTATCACATCCGCACCTCTGCTGGCGATGCCAGCTTGTCTGCCTGCGCCGCGCAGTGTGACCGCGCACGGGCAGCGTGCATCGGCTTTAACTTGTACGAGGCCCTGGCTGGGGATAAGCACGTTCACTGGAAGCGTTCTTTGCTTTGACTCAGTCAGCTCACATTGTCTGAGAGCTTGAACTATGATTGAGTCACTTGTAGGAGCTCTTGTATACGGTGCTATGATCCAGAATTCGGGTCTCGAGATCAAGTTGCAGTTTGGCATGAATGTCGCTTGATTCCAAACCTGCAGGACGGAAATGTGAAACATTGCTACACGTGTCTTGGCAGGATCCGAGTCCGATACACACAGACATGATACGGTCCAGATGAGAAGAAGAGACAACGCAAACGGGCACAAAGGAAGTACTCTGCACTGACTGGAATGTTACCAGGACCAAAAGGCCCACACAGTACATTCTCGGACTGCCAAGGGCCAGGGAGGGGTCTGGTGCAAAGAGGAAGATTCTTCCGACACGGTGTGGCTGCTAGGGGCCAGCTCGAGAGTGTGGAGAGGTCTGTGATGTTTGTGCTCTTTGGATCCTGCCGATTGTTGCTAGACCTTACATGGCCCTATTCAGGTACCTGCCAAAGTGTTTGCGCTGCTTGTAGATCTGTCAATCAAGGAACGGTTGCAATGCGTTCATTATGTCCAAGACCTGCCAAGGTACACGCAGGAGCGCAGCTTCCACTATTCAGTCACCGATGGACGCTGCAAAGCTTTTGTGAAATGCTCCTGGCTGCAGTAGACACACACACACACACACCATGAAAACCGCCTCACCAACATGGCCACGGCTGCTACAGTACAGAAGGAAGCGCTGTTTATGGATTCGTCCGCCTGTCATACACAGCAAGAATGCGACAACTAGTGCCACTCTGTGGGATTTCCACACACCTTGGCTAAGCGTGGCTAAGGCAGCTCGCCGACTTGGCACCCCAATGATCAGAGCCCGGAGCTGAGTTGGAGTTGAACATGTGTGGGATGAGATGGTCACCAGCTGATTCCCCCCCCCATCGTATCAAGTGAGTGAGCAGATGTCAGCAGTTGATGGAGCAGTTCTGCGACCTTTTCGCACCCAGTATTCACGTGGATGTTCGCATGATTTGGCGCCTCAGCGTCTAAGGTGTCAGCTGGAAGCATTTGTCCGACCAATGCGAGGCCGCCCGTGTACATCAAGCTTCCTTGAGATGCCTATTATATCTATAATATAGTATTATATCATATCATATTATATCATATGATATTACGCTATATTCTCTTATATTACATTATGTTATATTGTTATATATTGTTAAAGCCCCGCTGAACTCAAAGACGAATCTTTTGTGGGTCAGGGCCCTGGAGTGCCCACGCCCAGAGAAGCCCGCAGAAAGTCACGCCAAGTATCCATGGAGTCTCTACCGCCAAAGAAGCACGCAACAAATCCACCCTGTTCCTGTCCTGCAGAGAGTCCCACCATTCCTGGAGTGCCCGAGAAGCCCGCCGAGTATCCGGGAGTGCCAACCCTCAGCCCAGTGCCCAAGCCAGCGGAGAGTCCCCCGGAGTATCCCTGGTGCCTGCGACTTGTGCTGCTATCATCTGCTATCATCTGCTATCCGAATTCTCTCTCAACTCTGCCAGTGGCATTGCTACGAGGCAGGCGGCCAGCGGCTTTGCAGCTACCAGGACCTTGTGATCCTGTAGGGGCCGATGTACCTGCACAGCTGAAAAATGGCTTGGCCAACTGTTCTGCTGCTCCTTCTTTGAGGAGCTGTGTCCTGCGGGTAAAGGTCGCGAGCCTGTGGGAGGAAGACAGCCTCTCGCCTGTCGTTGAAGGGATTCAGACCTTGTGTTTGTTTCGAAGTCCTTGGCCGCAGTTTCTGTGAGATGGGTTTACATTGAGAGGGCCGCGGGCGGTTGCATTGCCAAGTAGTACCGCTGTAGCCGCCACGCAGAGATGTTGCCGTCAAGCTCCGTTTGCTGGTGATAGGTGCGCTCCTGAGGGACAGGAAGCGGTTTCGTATAGTGGGGTCGAAGCTCAGGGCACAAACCGATGCATGGTGCCCGATTGTGGACAACAAAGCTGCGAACTACATCCGGTGTGGCAATGTTGGGGCTGCCTGCCAGAAGCTCACAGAACTGGGCGCACTGGCCAAGCAGCGACTTGGTGCGAAAGGATGCAGAAAAGGGCTCTCTAAGATCCTTTTTAGAGTCCTTTTCTTCTTGAGCATTCAGAGCCGTGTCTTGGAACCTTCAGAGAGCCCATCAGAGAGCCTTCTGTCCCGCTGTGAGGAAGTGGCCTTTGGCGGACGCCCGACCTGACTTGAAGGATGCCTTCGCCTGCTGTGACGTCTGAGACGTCTGAGATCTGAGGCAGAATTCGCGGCCCTTGAAGTCAGCTGCCAAAGGCGGCGTTTGGTTTCGTCAGTTTCGTCTCCTCTTTCTCCGACGGACGTGTGATGCGAGTGCAGCCCAAGCACATGACGCACGCACTTGGCCATGCCCTGCTTGGCCGCGCTTGAATAAAGGATCTGTTAGCCAGGTGACGTGTGACAAAAATCAGCAGCAGGATTATCAGGGATAGCCAGTGGACTGCCCACGCACGCAATCGCACTCGTTCGCCTTTGTGTCTAGATGTGAAAAACAGCTCGCTGCGCTGCAAGGAAAGCACCTGCCCCCCGCATTCTCTTTCGGCTAAACTGTGCTGCTCTGGGAGCCTCTGGTGGCTGCTACCCCCCCGCAAGCAATGAACCCACTGCAGCTGGAGGAGGGGGAATTGACATGTGACATAGGCTGGACCGTCTGCTGTACTGAAACGATTAAATCATGATCCTTTAACTCGACTTCTTCTTCACTTTTCCGAGGACCCTCCTCGCCACCGGTCCTGGCCGCAGGATCGAGAGAGCAGCGTGCGCCTCCGGAGCAGCCTCGTCGTTCAGGCGCGTTCCACTCTGTGCTCTGGCTGTGCTCTTGCTGTGCTCTTGCTGTGAGTGCCAGCGCCTCCTTGTTCCTTTGTGACAATCAGGGCTTGAGGCTTGCCATCGCTCTTATTGCACTCTCGATGGGTTTTGCATATTTTGGGGTGTTTTTGCCATTCACTTCCATGGACTGGTCTCCTTCGAGGCTTACTCGCAGTTCTGGTGTATGGGGGCTTGGGAGGGTGTGTGCTTGCAGGAATGATTAGTCGGCTCGAAGTTGAGTGGCTTGTGCAGGGCCGGAGCAGCTCAGTGGCACTACACGATGCAGCTTCGCGAATGTCTGCGTGCGTTTACTTGGAGAAGCCAGGACTCACTGTGATGCAGGTCCCACGGGGGTCTGTGGGTCCTGACGTGGGACTCGCATATGCTGAGCCTTGCTTTTTAGCTGTGCAAAAGTAATCTTTGATCTTTACAGGCAGCGATGGTGGCGTTCAATTCCGCTGTTGGCAGCACGGTGGCCATTCTCGGATCCTTTCCCAGCCAGTGCGGATGGCAAGCATTCGGAGTTATCATGCTGACCGTGGCCATAACAGGAGCGCTACAGCAAAGCGCTCTCATCTCGACAAGCTGCCAGCTTGGGGCTGTAACCTTCGATGAGCTCTGCCAGCCACTCCCTGCTTGGTCCAGTAGAATCACTGTTGCAAGCTTTCTGGTATATTTCTGGGGCTGCATGGGTTTCTATTGTCAGTTCGTTGAGGCGGGAGCACCAAGCGGCAACTGTTGTTCTTAGTCCCCATCCATACCTAGGCTTGAACTAAAGGAGGAGTTGGGGGGATAGTTCAGGGTCTCAGCGGCCCTGAGGTGTTCCTGGCCGACCAAGTTTGTCCCGCATTGTGTGGGAGCGGGAGCGACTGGCTGTGCAACAGCGAGTATCGGATCGGCCTCTTGGTCTCCATCTTCTTTGCACTGGTGAGCTGGCCTCCACAACTGGCGGGCACTGCAGCGGTATGCATCAATTACACAAATTTCGCTGTCAAATGGGTTGTAATCATCACAGCAGTGGCGAAAGGAGTGCATACGGCCTTCTTTGTGGAGGCAGAGAGAACGTATACAGCCTGGGCACCTGCTGGTATGGTGCGGATCGCCTGCATGTTAATGGGCTCCTACGCAAACACAGGAATTATGCCACAGCTTGCTGCCGACATCGACAAGTCGCAGCAAGAGAGGGCAGCAAAGCTTTGCCCCAGCATCGCAGTGGGTTTGCAGTTCTTTGTCTATCTGGCTTTGGCTTACAGTGCTTATTTCGGCCTTGGTAATGCCATTGGAACTGATGTTTTCGCGAGCTACAACGAGCTCTATCCGGATTTCATGACAAGCATTCTGCAGGGGGGCCTGGCCCTTCTTGTTTGGCTTTCGTCGCCCCTAGTCATCCTGCCAATGAAAGCCGGAATCCGAGTTGCAACAGGCGTCAGGCCGCGTGATGAGTGCAAAATGTGTTTGGAGTGTTCGGAGGGCGATCTGAGGCCCAAATCTACGGGCTTCTGTCCCGTGGCGAGGCTGACCTTTCCAAGGCTCCCCCAAGCCTCCAGGCGCCCTCCATATGGCAGCGCATGGCAGTGCATTGTCTGCGAAGATCCGAAGCCTCAGATGTGGGCTGCACGTGTGGTTGCACCGTGCACATCAGGTAGGTCTGACCTTCATCCTCGCGCTCTCTGGGGCGATGGCCCCCTGCATAGTTGGCACCGAGGCCGGGCCTTGACGAAGTTGTTTGCGAAGTTTTGGCGGGAAGAGTCAAGAAGCCTGCCCGAGCGATGGTGATGCCCCCTCCAGATAATGAATGTATTCATGTGGTTCTGAGTTTTCATTGTGGCATGCCGGACTCGCGATCACTGCTCCGAGACATCGGAGCCAAGGTCTCGTTTTTTGTTGTAAAATCTGTATTTGTTCGACCTACATCGAAGATAACATCCTTGGAGTTCGGTATCAACGCGTGATGACGATAATCCACTCGAGCTGTGTGAGGCATTCACCAAGTTCCTATTCTTTCTGGCCTGCACGTGCGGCAACTGGTTCAACTTCTTCCTCCCTGCCATGGTTGTGCTGTACTGCCAGGCAAGAGCTTATTTGTTCTCACCGTGGCATTTGAAGCATTTGCAGTCAAAAGGTTGTCATGTGTAAACTGCCACATGCCGTTTTGCCAGCAAGTCCTTCGCCGAGGTCTGGTCTCCGAAGCACACAGGAGACAAGAACCTGCCCAGGGTCCTCTGTGTTTGGCTCTTCTTCTTGGGTGGTTTAGGCGTGGTCAGCACGAAGCCAGTTCTTACTTGCACTCTATTTTTCTGTGTCGCACCTTGAGCTGGAGGCCTCATCGATGCTGGGTTCCAAATACTGGAATCGCTCTCACCGAAGGCTGCGTTGTGTCGTAATCGTGCTGCAGATGGTATCCCGATGCCACACTCATTTGCAGGACTCCTCTGCCAAGCTTCCTCTTCCCACCCGCTGCGCAGCATGGAGGTGCTTTTCCTTCTCATTTCCCGGGGGGAGGGAAGCAGCTTAATCAGGCGATCCTGAGGCTCGAGGCGTGCCGAGGCATGTCGCAATGTTTCTCTGTTCTTTTTGTCACAGGCACGCTGCATACCCTGATGGCAACGCCATGGTCGTCTGACAACGAGTTTGTTTCGTCACAGCCATTGTCAGAATCATCTTATGTTCCATTGCATCGATTATTGATTATAGGGGGAAAACATGGTCTGGCGGGGCATGGGGTTGCTTGTGCTCCAGACGTTCTCGTCTGGAGCCGAAGATACTCGAAGAGCCGGTCAATTTCCATGACAAATACCATAATGAATACAAATTGGCATCCAAAAATTGTTGGGGCCTACAAGAGGAAACGGTCTCATAAACAATCAAACAATAGGTTTTCCTAATGATACGGTTGACGGAGGAAATCTTGCACCACCTAGTGAACAACAGGTGACACGACACATGAGCATGACCCCGCACCCCCTTTTTAATATTGACGATGATGGATACCGAGGTGGTGCAAGATTTTTGTCATTGGAACCCACGGCACTTTCGAGGATCAACAGTCAATATTAAAAAGGGGGTGCGGGGTCTCTACTTTGCTTGGCCATTTAAAGCGGTGCAAGATTTCCTCCATCAACAGTACCTTACAACGTCGTCGCAGCAAGCAAGATGTATGATGAGTATACAGTGTTAACTGCATATGGTACCTTTCCACAGTTAACACTCAGTTAACACTCAGTTAACACTCAGTTAACACTACAGTTAACACTACAGTTAACACTACCGAAATGCTGCAAAAACCAGCATTTTGCTGGATACACACATTTAAAAGAAACAAATTAGTATTTTTACTGTCTTTAACACAAATTTGAGGAAAATGCTGGTTTTTGCAGCATTTCGGTAGTGTTAACTGTAGTGTTAACTGTAGTGTTAACTGAGTGTTAACTGAGTGTTAACTGAGTGTTACCTGTACAAAAGGTGCAGGATACACTGGAGCTCCCTAGGCGGAGAACGACGTTGCGTGTCACCAATGGCACCCCTGACGAGGGACTCTTGCAGTTTGGTGATGTCTAGTAAATACACAGGCTGCTTTTGTCATGTCAGCAAAAGGATCCTGTCGGTTGACGGAGGAAATCTTGCACCACCTAGTGAATAACAGGTGACACGACACATGAGCATGACCCCGCACCCCCTTTTTAATATTGACGATGATGGATACCGAGGTGGTGCAAGATTTTTGTCATTGGAACCCACGGCACTTTCGAGGATCAACAGTCAATATTAAAAAGGGGGTGCGGGGTCTCTACTTTGCTTGGCCATTTAAAGCGGTGCAAGATTTCCTCCATCAACAGTACCTTACAACGTCGTCGCAGCAAGCAAGATGTATGATGAGTATACAGTGTTAACTGCATATGGTACCTTTCCACAGTTAACACTCAGTTAACACTCAGTTAACACTACAGTTAACACTACAGTTAACACTACCGAAATGCTGCAAAAACCAGCATTTTGCTGGATACACACATTTAAAAGAAACAAATTAGTATTTTTACTGTCTTTAACACAAATTTGAGGAAAATGCTGGTTTTTGCAGCATTTCGGTAGTGTTAACTGTAGTGTTAACTGTAGTGTTAACTGAGTGTTAACTGAGTGTTAACTGAGTGTTACCTGTACAAAAGGTGCAGGATACACTGGAGCTCCCTAGGCGGAGAACGACGTTGCGTGTCACCAATGGCACCCCTGACGAGGGACTCTTGCAGTTTGGTGATGTCTAGTAAATACACAGGCTGCTTTTGTCATGTCAGCAAAAGGATCCTGTCGGTTGACGGAGGAAATCTTGCACCACCTAGTGAATAACAGGTGACACGACACATGAGCATGACCCCGCACCCCCTTTTTAATATTGACGATGATGGATACCGAGGTGGTGCAAGATTTTTGTCATTGGAACCCACGGCACTTTCGAGGATCAACAGTCAATATTAAAAAGGGGGTGCGGGGTCTCTACTTTGCTTGGCCATTTAAAGCGGTGCAAGATTTCCTCCATCAACAGTACCTTACAACGTCGTCGCAGCAAGCAAGATGTATGATGAGTATACAGTGTTAACTGCATATGGTACCTTTCCACAGTTAACACTCAGTTAACACTCAGTTAACACTACAGTTAACACTACAGTTAACACTACCGAAATGCTGCAAAAACCAGCATTTTGCTGGATACACACATTTAAAAGAAACAAATTAGTATTTTTACTGTCTTTAACACAAATTTGAGGAAAATGCTGGTTTTTGCAGCATTTCGGTAGTGTTAACTGTAGTGTTAACTGTAGTGTTAACTGAGTGTTAACTGAGTGTTAACTGAGTGTTACCTGTACAAAAGGTGCAGGATACACTGGAGCTCCCTAGGCGGAGAACGACGTTGCGTGTCACCAATGGCACCCCTGACGAGGGACTCTTGCAGTTTGGTGATGTCTAGTAAATACACAGGCTGCTTTTGTCATGTCAGCAAAAGGATCCTGTCGGTTGACGGAGGAAATCTTGCACCACCTAGTGAATAACAGGTGACACGACACATGAGCATGACCCCGCACCCCCTTTTTAATATTGACGATGATGGATACCGAGGTGGTGCAAGATTTTTGTCATTGGAACCCACGGCACTTTCGAGGATCAACAGTCAATATTAAAAAGGGGGTGCGGGGTCTCTACTTTGCTTGGCCATTTAAAGCGGTGCAAGATTTCCTCCATCAACAGTACCTTACAACGTCGTCGCAGCAAGCAAGATGTATGATGAGTATACAGTGTTAACTGCATATGGTACCTTTCCACAGTTAACACTCAGTTAACACTCAGTTAACACTACAGTTAACACTACAGTTAACACTACCGAAATGCTGCAAAAACCAGCATTTTGCTGGATACACACATTTAAAAGAAACAAATTAGTATTTTTACTGTCTTTAACACAAATTTGAGGAAAATGCTGGTTTTTGCAGCATTTCGGTAGTGTTAACTGTAGTGTTAACTGTAGTGTTAACTGAGTGTTAACTGAGTGTTAACTGAGTGTTACCTGTACAAAAGGTGCAGGATACACTGGAGCTCCCTAGGCGGAGAACGACGTTGCGTGTCACCAATGGCACCCCTGACGAGGGACTCTTGCAGTTTGGTGATGTCTAGTAAATACACAGGCTGCTTTTGTCATGTCAGCAAAAGGATCCTGTCGGTTGACGGAGGAAATCTTGCACCACCTAGTGAATAACAGGTGACACGACACATGAGCATGACCCCGCACCCCCTTTTTAATATTGACGATGATGGATACCGAGGTGGTGCAAGATTTTTGTCATTGGAACCCACGGCACTTTCGAGGATCAACAGTCAATATTAAAAAGGGGGTGCGGGGTCTCTACTTTGCTTGGCCATTTAAAGCGGTGCAAGATTTCCTCCATCAACAGTACCTTACAACGTCGTCGCAGCAAGCAAGATGTATGATGAGTATACAGTGTTAACTGCATATGGTACCTTTCCACAGTTAACACTCAGTTAACACTCAGTTAACACTACAGTTAACACTACAGTTAACACTACCGAAATGCTGCAAAAACCAGCATTTTGCTGGATACACACATTTAAAAGAAGTAAATTAGTATTTTTACTGCCTTTAACACAAATTTGAGGAAAATGCTGGTTTTTGCAGCATTTCGGTAGTGTTAACTGTAGTGTTAACTGTAGTGTTAACTGAGTGTTAACTGAGTGTTAACCTGTACAAAAGGTGCAGGATACACTGGAGCTCCCTAGGCGGAGAACGACGTTGCGTGTCACCAATGGCACCCCTGACGAGGGACTCTTGCAGTTTGGTGATGTCTAGTAAATACACAGGCTGCTTTTGTCAACAAAAGGATCCTGTCGGTTGACGGAGGAAATCTTGCACCACCTAGTGAATAACAGGTGACACGACACATGAGCATGACCCCGCACCCCCTTTTTAATATTGACGATGATGGATACCGAGGTGGTGCAAGATTTTTGTCATTGGAACCCACGGCACTTTCGAGGATCAACAGTCAATATTAAAAAGGGGGTGCGGGGTCTCTACTTTGCTTGGCCATTTAAAGCGGTGCAAGATTTCCTCCATCAACAGTACCTTACAACGTCGTCGCAGCAAGCAAGATGTATGATGAGTATACAGTGTTAACTGCATATGGTACCTTTCCACAGTTAACACTCAGTTAACACTCAGTTAACACTACAGTTAACACTACAGTTAACACTACCGAATGCTGCAAAAACCAGCATTTTGCTGGATACACACATTTAAAAGAAACAAATTAGTATTTTTACTGTCTTTAACACAAATTTGAGGAAAATGCTGGTTTTTGCAGCATTTCGGTAGTGTTAACTGTAGTGTTAACTGTAGTGTTAACTGAGTGTTAACTGAGTGTTAACTGAGTGTTACCTGTACAAAAGGTGCAGGATACACTGGAGCTCCCTAGGCGGAGAACGACGTTGCGTGTCACCAATGGCACCCCTGACGAGGGACTCTTGCAGTTTGGTGATGTCTAGTAAATACACAGGCTGCTTTTGTCATGTCAGCAAAAGGATCCTGTCGGTTGACGGAGGAAATCTTGCACCACCTAGTGAATAACAGGTGACACGACACATGAGCATGACCCCGCACCCCCTTTTTAATATTGACGATGATGGATACCGAGGTGGTGCAAGATTTTTGTCATTGGAACCCACGGCACTTTCGAGGATCAACAGTCAATATTAAAAAGGGGGTGCGGGGTCTCTACTTTGCTTGGCCATTTAAAGCGGTGCAAGATTTCCTCCATCAACAGTACCTTACAACGTCGTCGCAGCAAGCAAGATGTATGATGAGTATACAGTGTTAACTGCATATGGTACCTTTCCACAGTTAACACTCAGTTAACACTCAGTTAACACTACAGTTAACACTACAGTTAACACTACCGAAATGCTGCAAAAACCAGCATTTTGCTGGATACACACATTTAAAAGAAGTAAATTAGTATTTTTACTGCCTTTAACACAAATTTGAGGAAAATGCTGGTTTTTGCAGCATTTCGGTAGTGTTAACTGTAGTGTTAACTGTAGCGTTAACTGAGTGTTAACTGA